TGAAAGGAAGGCAGGCAGGAAGGGGCAGCATTAGCTGGGCCTTAGAAATGTTGGTGCTGGACAATAAACCATGTTCTTGCCTGTTCTGTCCCCAGCAAACCCTCATACAGCAAAGCCATCTCTGGACAAACTGGGACTGCTAGCTCTAGGTTTCATGTGAGCCCATTCAGTGTTAGTGTTCAAAAACCCTGAGGATGGACTGGTGGAGTGGCTCAAGTGGTGGAGCACCAGCCTAGCAATTGTGAGGTCCTGAGTTCACACACCCCAGTAGCACCAAAACAAAACAAAAAATCCTGAGGAGAGTATGAGGCTGCCAAGGCCTGCATTCAGTTTAATCCCAGTTACTTGGAAAGAGAAGGCAGGGTTACTCGAGCCCAGGAATTCAAGGACAGCCTGGGCAGTGAGGCCCAGCCTCAAAAAGAAAAACAAAACAAAACAAAAAACTTCAAAGGAGGAGTCATCTGGATTTTGAGAAAAACAAAACAAAACAAAAAACTTCAAAGGAGGAGTCATCTGGATTTTGAGAACACCCAATACCAGTTCACATGCCAAAGAAGAAATAGCAAAGAAGGCTCTATGTCTGCTCCTTTCTCTCTCTGAGGAGGACACTGACAGGAGTTCAGAAGTCCACGGACCTGATCCATGGAAGGGAGGGAGGAAGGAAAGAGAGGACTGAAGGTAGGAAGTGGCCAACAGAGAAAGCTAGCCCATACTCCAGAAGATGAAGACTACCTTCCATTCCTCCGTCATCAACTCCTTTCTCCCAACCAGCCAGGAACTGGACGGGGAAGCGGAGGTCATTTGCTAATCCTCTCCAGTTTTTGCAAAAGTGCAAGGAGCAAAGCACCAACCTTCAGAGAGCCAGGCCTCAGACTCAGCCCGCTCTGTCAGAAAGTCCAAGGAGAGCTGAAGGGCACTACAGGAAAACCATAAAGGCACAATTCTGCATTAAGACAGAATAAGTGAGTGACCCATAAAAAAACAGACCTGTAAACTTGGCTCAGGAGACAGATATTGTTGAGAATCCCTTAAGGATGTGGCTATATTCTCAAAAATATGTCTTAGGTGACTTTGTCATTGTGAGTGTCACAAAGTACACTTACACAAACTTAACACAGTTACAACCTAACCAAGCAATACAATCTTATGAATGGCTGACTGCTGCACATTCAGTCAGATACTGACCATAATGCCACTGTGCAGCATGCAACTGTAAAAGCAGTGGGCTTTTTCCTTCAGAACCAAGGCACCCAGTCTCCCTCCCCCTTTGCCCCTGGCTCAGCTGTCATGTCAGTCAGAATGCACAAGAGCACTGCAACCACATACACTTCACTTACCCAAGTGTGTCCCTGGGTCCCTCAGACAGTCACATTACTCAAGGAAAGGCCTAGCCTACTTGCAGTCTGTTATGGGGAGCATCTCAGCTTGTCTAGCTTTTCACTGTTGCTTTAATGGATCTGCTTTTCTGGTTTAGCCTTTGGGATGCAGCTACAAGTGTTGAGCTCAGAAAAAAGACCCTAAGTAAAGCAAGTAGGCAAAGCCCCAACAGGAAACAGTAAGTAACAATTGAGACTTTAAGGGAGGAAACACAAGACGGCCTCAAACAACACCTGGCAACTGCCGTCCACACTGGGAAGTGTGGCTGGCAGTGTCTAGCAACAAGTGTCAGAGCTGTGACAAGGTGAGGCCTGGAGCCACCATTCCACATTCCCTAGAGTTTCAAGAAGCCTCCCCAGCATGACGGTGCACCCCGTAATCCCGGCACTAAAGAGGCCGAGGCAGGAGAACTGCGGTTTTGAGCCAGCCTGGGCTACGTAACGAGACTGTCTGGAAAACCCAGAACCAAAGCCAAACGAAGCCTCGGCGGACGACGGAGACAGGGCCCCCTCTTGATCCAGAAGTGCCCCAGTGGGACTTCTAGGGTCTGCTTCTCTCACTGGATCCCTGGCGAACAGACCTCAGGGCAGACGTCTTCCTCTTCTCGCATGGCTGAAAACAGCAGGCTGAGGCCGACAGCACAGTGCACAGTGGGACAGCTGTGGGTCCGGCCTTCCCTGTCCCTGTCCGAGACAAGTCACGTCCACAGCGGGGGAGGGAGAAGCATCTGCTGCCTCACTGTCGCCCCTTCTCCGGTAAAAGCCCAGGACGGCAGCCAGGCCCCTGGCTCCTGTCCCAGCAGGCCAGAGGAGAGTGGGCAGCCGCCGCGGGACCCGCCTCCAGCCCGAGGTGACAGCAGCAGTGACACTGCCGGGGCGGGGGACGCGGGCCAAGCGGCTCAGGAGGCGCGGCGGGGCCACGGGAGGGCAGAGGTCACCGCGGGACGGGACCCAGAGGGGCGGGGCCTCAGGGCGGTCTCAGCCGGAAGGTCGGCGAGGCCGGGGTCTCAGAGAGGGGGCAGGGATGAGGCGGATGGTAAAGTCGGGGACTTGTCTTTGCAGACGCCGCTCGCCGCCCAGGAGTGGGCTGTCAGACGGTGCCTCCGCTGTCGGGGTACACTGCGGGGCAGCGCCGGCGGCAGTTAACGCTCGCAGGCTGCCCTCGGCGCAGAGGGCACGGGGTGAGGGGAACGGAGGGCGACACCTGTCCACAGGACTGGACCCCGAGACCGCCACCTCGCGACTCAAGGAGGACACTCACCCTGGCCGCCCGCTTTCAACACCCCGCCCCGACGTCCGCGCTCCCGGCGTTCCCTGCGTCTCTGCACGCGTTGGTCGGCTCACCCTGAGGCCACGCCCCCTTGCGGACTGAGGCTGCTCATTGGACATGGCGGCAGCCAATTGGAGCGGCTCTTGCTGCAGCGTGGCCGGCCGGTGGTCCGCCGGCAGCCTACAGGGTCCAGCGAGGTTACGGAGCAGGAGTCCAGCCTCAGGCTGCGTGAGAGCTCAAGTCTGTGGGCCGAGCTCGAGAGCCATCCACCCAGGGAGGTCAGTCCGTTTCCAGTTGGCGCCGCGGCCGCTCCTCCCGCAGGGTCCGCGGAGACCCCCACCCTGAGGAGCCTGGCGGTGGTCCTCTCCCACGGCGGCCTCCGGGGTCCTCCTCCCGCGGAGACCTCCCCGCCCTCGGGTCCTGGGGATCCATCAGCCCTGGTCAGGGCCTCTCAGCCGCCTGCAAACCGATCCACTCTTTTCTTCTGCAGATGGGCTTCCTGACTGCGGTGACTCAGGGCCTGGTGCGGGGCGCCGACAGGATGAGCAAGTGGACAAGCAAGCGGGGGCCGCGCACCTTCTCCAAGAGCCGGGGCGCCAAGAGAACGGGCGTCCACGCCCCGGACTGGAAATTCGTGCAGGTACAGGAAATGGTCCCGGAGTTCGTTGTCCCCGACTTGACCGGCTTCAAGCTCAAGCCCTACGTGAACTACCGTGCTCCTGCCGGCACAGACGCACCGCTGACAGCCAGAGCGCTCTTCTTGGAGGCCGTTGCACCTGCTATCGAAAAGGACTTTCAAGAAGGCACTTTCAGTCCTGACAACCTGGAGAAGTATGGCTTTGAGCCCACGCAGGAAGGCAAGCTCTTCCAGCTGTACCCCAAGAATTTCCCACGGTAGCGGGCGGACTGTAACTGCAGATTTGCCTGTTGACTGGGATCACACTGGCCCAGCCTCAGATCGTGAGTCCCCGGAGAAGTGAGGGGCACCTTCTTTACACATTTCTATTAAAGGCTTTTGCTACTCTATACAGAATGTGTTTGGAATCTGGTCATTGAAAGTACATGGTAGTTGTTCTCGTTCTCACTCTAGAGGTGCCCCATGTTTAGTCTACTGAAAGTATATTCCTCCCCTGATAAACTTTTATCACTTTCGCTACAAAAAAAAGTATATGACAAAAGGCCAGGCCTGGTACAGCATTCCCGTAATCCCAGCTATGCAGAAAGCATAGGTAGGAGGATCATAGTCTGAAGATGGTTCTGGGGATGGACACCAGTGCTCTGCCACTGAGCCATATTCCTAGCACAATTTGAAAAGAACATGAACAGATCACCTGCTTGTGTAGTGGAGCTAAAAGAGTACAGTAGAAGAGCAAGAGAGAACTGCCTTGGGTTACAAATTTGTGGGACACGTGACAGGTGCGTGACTTCCACTGTGAATATCTTTGGAAGGATAGGCCATTGTTGAGTTTGTCATATCCTCAGCAGGACATGCAGCTGTTTATGGAGAAGATGCACATTTTTTCCTTTTTTGCTTTGTTTTTTGGTGGTACTGGTGCTTAAACTCAGCCTTGTGCTTGCTAGGCAGGTGCTGTACCACTTGAGCCGTGTCCCCAAGAACATTAACATCATTGCAGTTTTACTTTTTTAATTGTTGAGGCTCAAACCCAACATCTTGCACATGGTAGGCAGGTGCTCTACCAGAGAGCTACATACTCAGCCCCTGGTGTGGTTTTTTTTTTTTTAATGATACCACGCATCATGCCATTGTAGGCAGATTGGTTACAATACTGTTTCTGTCAAAATCATCAGTGTTCCATTGATGGCTCATTCATTTCAAATAAAAATAGTTAAACTGTCCTTTAGAATTTGGACAAATGTAAGGTGGGGGTCAACAAGCATTAAGTGCAATACAGAAGGTCTGAGGAACTATGACAGAAACAGGCAGACTGGGCATTAAAGCCCACTTTGGCACTAACTACCTCTATAGCCTTGTCCTTAGGTTTTCCATAGAAGGTACTTTCACCTGACCTGCTGCTTTGGATCCCATGGGAATATGCTGATTTTTTTTGCTTTGGGAGATGAACTGACCAGTGTTGCCTTGTGTGAGCTGAGTGATACATGATTGCCATGGATATACTCCCAGACCTGACTTCTAAAGTTGGTTGGAATCTGTTACGGACTCTGCTAGTCACCACATGGAGTCTATTGGGTGGGACTGGGGTTTGAACTTGGCTGTGTGTGCTAGGCAGGTACTCTTCCCAGCCCTTTTTGCTTTAGTTATTTTTCAAATAGAATCTGGCACTTTTTTAACACAGTTAAAAAATTATTTCCAACGTTGTAAAGTATCTTAAAAAACATTTCCCTTAAGTAATATAAATAATTGCTTATATGAAAGGCTGAAAGTCAAAATCCACCCAAGACACTTAGGGGTGGAGCTGGAAAACCCACACCAGACAGAATCATGAGGACCATTCCCAATGGCCCGGCACAAAGGGATGGTACTTCAGAATCACACCTAGTGTGGCTAGAAGGGTTTCTGTAACCGCAAGCTCAGCTCATTTCCCACTTCCAGAGGTGAAGAACGTGGTCATAAAAGGAACAGGTGGCCAGGAGACTGATGTCAAAGTTTACCCCTTCTGGGTAGAGGTCCAAGTCACAGATCTTGCTTGTGGTGTGTACTCGGCTGCCACTAATGTCCACCATGCCCACTCTTTGTTCAGAGGGGGCTGCCAGTGACTCGCCTGCATCCTTCTGGTTGTAGACCCGGTCTGCCATTCTGGCTCCCATGTCACTTTGAAGAGAGGAACCAGTTTGGGGTTGCAGTGAACTGAGGAGGAGCCAGGACCAGTCAGCCCCATACACCAGTGAGTTGGGTAATGTGTGGGATACCAACACTGTCGCTTCCTGCTTCTCCTCTGGAGCAATAAACAGAACAGGAAACATCATTACTTACAGTTGATCACCCCCACTGATGGCCTCAAAGGGGGCCTACCCAAAAGCAGCCACTCCCTCAGCAAATGTTCACTGAACAGCCTCTTGTAGGCAGAGGAACCAGTAAAACACAGGCAGGCAGAGAATAAATTAGACATGCATCATGCAGCATGTGCCATAGAGATGAGCAGAAACAAATGAGGGGCACTTCTCCAAGTTGGAGAATTTAGCAAAAGCTTCTCAGGGGGAGATACACCTTACTTAAGACTTGAAAGCAAAGAACAAAGAGGAGTCAGCCAGATAGGAGGGAAGGGGACAGAAGAGGAACAGGGAGCATATAATTATAAACAGGACCTGCACGCACATGGCCCTGGCTGCAGCATGGTGGTGACTGACTCAAGGCTAGGTGGTCCAAACCATGCAGCTTCATGTGCCCTGAGAGGTTCACAGGAGCAGCTTCTTTCTAGCGAGCTCCAGATGCAGCTTAGAGAACAGAAGCAGAGCCAGAAAAAGCCAAAGCATTCCAACAGTGCACAGCAGTGACAACATGGCATTATGACCATAGAAAGCAGATGTGGGTCAGGTACCAGTGGCTCACGCCTGTAATCCTAGCTACTTAGGAGGCAGACATCAGGAGGATCACAGTTTGAAGCCAGCCAGGGTAAATAGTTCATGAGACCCTATCTCTAAAAAACCCATCACAAAAACAGGGCTGGTAGAGTGGCTCAAGGTGTAGGCCCTTAGTTCAAACCCCAGCACCCGTGCAAAAAAAAAAAAAAGCAGATGTGGCCAAACCTAAGCAGGTTCACACCCCAGGAGCAAGGCCACAGCTGGTAAGTGCAGCCTCTTCCAAGAGTGCCCACTTGGAAGACTGTCAGAGGCCATTCAGGCTTCCAGTTGGCCTGGGTAGTAAGTAAAAAGTTTGGGAAGCATGGCACCACTACTTCTTCTCTGGAAACTGAACAGCTTGAGGATGGCGACCCGAAAAATAATCCAAGAAACCCCCAAGAAGATGCCTGGTCTGCATCTGACAGTGAGAACGAAGCCCATCCTTGTGCAGAAATGAACAAAAATCAACTGGGAGAGACTGGAAAAAAAACAAAACCATCTTAAAATTACACAAATTATGAGGTGCACAGAGGAAAAAAGAGTGTACTAAGAAGTTAACAGTGGAAACTAAAGAAAGGCAGAGAAAGAACTGAGAGGAGGAAAAACTGAGACAAAGACACAGGTAAAAGGATTCAGAGAAGCCATAACTGCAGCAGCAAGAGAATCCAACAGGCAGAAAACAAAGAATCAACATTTGAAACTATAATGCAGAGCATCATGGTGGTGCACACATGGGAGTCTGAGGCAAAAGGATTGTAAGTTCAAGGCCAGCCTATACTACACAGAGACTTTGTCTCAAACAAGCAAAAACTATAACCCAAGAACACTTCCCGGAAATGAAATCTAAATATGGAAATGGCGTATAGGTCTGCAGAGTACCTGTCAAAAATCAACCTGGAATGGTGAACTCCAAGACACTTAGTAAAACTATTCCACTCCAGAGATCAAAAAGAAAAGCCCATTGAATATAACCAAAGGTAGAAAAAGCCCAGATGCCTATCAATGGACAAATGGTGACAACAGTCTTCAAAGGAATTTCTGGCATCTAAAGCAACAGATGAGCCCTGAGAACATGAAGCTAAATGAAAGAAGTCAGTCACACAAGAAAAATAAGTCTGATCCACTTGTGTCAAATGTCTAGAACAGGCAAATTCAGAGAGGCAGAAAGAAAGTTAGAGGTTTACCAGAGTTTTGAAAGATGGAAAAGTTTTGAAAGCAAATAATGGTGATAGTTGTACAATATTTTGAATGTACTTAAAAGTCACTAAGTATACACCTAAAAAAGTTAAAATGGCTTATTTTATGTTATATATATTAAGAAAATTTTAAAACAGTTAAGAAAACCATTGGGTCCCCCAGACAGAAAGACCAAATAAGGAGACAAAGGCAGGAGACAAGCCACCACCAGCAAAGCATCACAGCAGGATATAACAGGCAGGTTCTTCATCAAGGGTCAAGGCTTCAGGAAAAAGGGCTGAGTGTTCAAGGACTCAGGGAATTCCACCCTTGAGAGCCTTTCCCAGCAATCTATCCCAAGGCAAATTCTGCCCAGAGACAACAGAGATGCCTGTGCTGGTGGGAGCACTGAGAACACTTCATAAAGGGCAGGGACACAGTGCAATGGCAGAGCACTTCCCTACTATATACACATGCAAAAGGATAACAGGTACACACGTAAGTGATGTAAACACATAATAGTCTGAGCAAAAGAAAAGCCACTAAGAATGGGAGGAGGGGGAAGTAGAGTAACTTCTCTGATGTCACATGGGCAGTAAGAAGATCGTATATAACTCTAGAAGTGTTTGCAGGAAGATAAAGAGGGATTCAGACCATCTATTTAAGGCATTAGCATAAAGATGACACGATGGATACAACTTTCATAAATATCAAAATAAGTTAGAGCAAGAAAACAAGAGCAGAAAAAGCAGATCACAGAAAAAGAAACAGTAACCATAGTATATCAAGTGAAAATGACTGCAGCATGAAGAGTGGCAGCCCAAACCCATCAATGCCAATGGGCTTTAGTACTGTTCATGGAACGATGACCTCACAGCAAGATCAAACTCTATGCTGTATCAGAGAAATAAACTTCTAGCTAAGTGATACAAAAGGAGTTTGCAAAAGACCAGCAAGTTTGTCAGGTGATTAAAAAGCAGGGGTTGCATTTTAGTATCAGAGAAGACCAAGAGACACTAAACATGTCCAAGTCACAGCTGAGGTCACGACTCAAATGGTAGGCTGCTTGCCTAATAAGCACAAGGCCCTGAGTTCAAGGCCCAGTACTGCCAAAAAAAAAAAAAAAAGATCTTGGGCTAAAAAAAAAAAACAAAAGATCTTAGTAGAGTGCCTGCCTACCAAGTGAGAAGCCCTGAATTCAAACCCCAGTACCTCCCCCCCCCACAAAAAAAAAAAAAAAAAGGCAAGCCACAGTGCTGGGAAGACATGGCAGTTGAGCACTTATCTAGGAACTAAAAGACAAAGCAGTCCCAAGCAGATTATTCTCACAAGAGACTTTTAAAACCTTACTCTCAGGACAGAATAGGAAGCACAGCTGAGAGATGGGCAAATTCAGAAGCAGGCAGTCACAAGGGAGCCCTGCAAACCTAAAACCCTAAAACTGCACTGTAATAGAGTACCCTCCCCACAGATGCACATGGAGCGCTGACAGCAGTCCACCAGACTTAGTGGCTCATACCTGTAATCCCAGCTACTTAGGAGGCAGAGATCAGGAGGCCAACCCAGAAGAAAAAAGTTATCAAGATCCCATCACAAACAAACAAGTTGGGCATGGTGACCCATAACTGTAATCCCAGCTATCAAGGAAGTATAAATTAAAATAAATAAATAAAAACTGCCCTCAAACCCTAGTCCCACCAAAAAACAAAAACAAAAAATAACCTAGGGCAATGTGGGCTGGAGGCAAGGCCCAGGGTTCAAACCCCACTATAACCTTCAGGGCTGGAAAGAGAACACAAATACACAAAACATGATAAAGATCCAATGAAAGAACATTCTTAAAAAAAAAAAAAAAAAATCACAAAGCAACTTGTTTACACACCTTTATGCAAATAAAATTTAAAATGTAGATTAGAAGGCAGAGAGCACAAGGTAACTCAAAGGCTAACAGACAACCAAGTGCTGATGGCTCATGCCAGTAATCCTAGCTACTTGGGAGGCAGAGATCAAGAGGATCAAGATTCAAGGCCAACCCAGGCAAATAATTCTTGAGACCCTACCTTGAAAATATGTAACACAAAAAAGGGCTGGCAGAGTGGATCAAGTGGGACAGAGCCTGCCTAGCAAGCATAAGGCCCTGATTTCAAACCCGTTACCCTCCCCCAACCAAAAAAAAAGGCTAACAGACTTAATGGTGGGAAGTCAACTTGGTCTTCCAATTACTTCTTTTCAAGGTGGAAACAGAGGGGGAGGAGACAGAGAAGGGAGATCACAAGCTGAGAGTAGGGAGGTAAAGGGGGTCCTACGGTTTGTGAAGAGAAATAGTTCTGACAAGGGGAGACACACTGCAGAAACACTGTGGTGGCCAAGAAATTCCAATGACCTCCCAGAGCAAACCCAGTGAAGCCATTCAAATGCAACGCTTTCCTACCATCACAGACCATGGCTCAGTCACAGGTAAAGATGGGTTAACCAATGCTGGGTTCTGCCCCAAGAAGGGAGCAAAGGAAAGTCATTGTGTGGGACATGGCACAACCAAAATCCAAGCCGTTCACAGACAGAAAGAATAGGACAGGGAGAATGGAGGAGGCAGAGCAAGGATGGCCATGAGTAACAAGTGGAGTCAGAGAATTGTTGAAATGCATGAGGAACCAGAATGACTGAGCTGGACATGGGGAAGCAGGATGAAAGACAGGATTCTTGAAACTGAGGTCCAACACTGGTGCAGCTAGGGCAGGAGTGAGGACTGGGTGTGGCTGGGTAGCTCATCAGACTTATGCCCAGAGGCTGGCTGCGCGCCCCCACTCACCCACTGGCTGGCTGTGTGCTCCCACTTACCCAAGAGGTTAACTATGTACCTCCACTCACCCATGGCCTTTTGGCAGTTGAGGATCTTGAAGCCACTGTGCATGCAGGCTGCCAGGAGCAGATGGTGGTAGACTGGGTGCCACTTGAGCCTCCATACCCCTCCCTGCATGGGTGTGTCTGCTAACGGCTGTGTCATGTTCCGAGTGTCCCACAGTAGAACGTGCTCATCATAGCTGGAACCATCCAATCAGTGGCATGCAGGAGACCTGATGCTTACTTCTTCCCTAAGCCCCTCAGCAGAAGGGGACACTCCCAAGAGACCCATCTCATCCCTTGAGGACAAAGGCCCATTTCCAGACCCAGATACTTGTGTGGTAGGTTGAAAACTGCAAAATGAACACCACAGTCTTGTGGAGAGGGAGTGAGTGAGATGCAAGGACCACAGAATCCACACCAGGGACTTACCTTCCTGTAGCCAGGATGTGCTCTCGATAGGGGCTGCTCTGGATGCTGCACACACCCATGGAGTGTCTGCAGGCAAAGAACAGCAACTGATAGTAAGCCAGACGGGATGAGAGGTCCTGGGAGAGGTGCCGGGAGGGGCTATACCCAAGCTCTGACTATAGGGCCAGCTACCTCTTACTGGTGAAGAGAGAAGTGCCAAGCATCCTGGTGTCCCAGCCTTTCAGAAGACCATCGTCCCCCCCTGTGTGGACATAAAGAAACCCATTACCAATGGCACTGATGATAGACAACAGAATTTCTCAGCAAGAGAATCTGTGAGGAAGTCCTTCAGTGCCTACTCTACATGATTTCAGGTTGCCACCAGGCAGGAGAGTCCTAAAAAGGACACCATAATGGTCACTGCCAGGCCCTAATGATCTTCAGGTTGAGTAGGGCCTGGGAAGAAGGGAAGACTAATGGTCTACGCTTGCACATATAAAAGGGAAGAGCTGGAAGTGGTAAGGCATCAGATTCCCTAACCATGAAAGGGAATACAGGTCACACCTGGTCACACTGCATTCTAGGAGGGCTCCAGCATCAGAGACCTGGTCACCTAGAGCCAGAGTGGTCATATTCAAGATCTCTGCCCAGAAGCAGTATGCAGGAAGACGTGGACAGAACTCCAGAAGGTTCTTTGACCTTAATCACACTCCCATGGGCTGTAAAGGGAAATGTACTTTGTAACCTTGCAATAGGACTAGAGATGTGGCTTAAGCAGCAAAGCACCTGCCTAGCAAACCTCAGGACCTCCAAAAACAACAACAACAAAAGAACAACAAAACTTACAATAAAAAAATACCCTTGCACTCATTTTAGGGGAAATGAAGGGCAGAAAGAGCAGGACAGATAGTGTCCTGATCCATAACCAGTCTTTAAAGAAAGACAACATCAAGACACAGGTGGATGGTGGTATCCTGACAAAGGAAAAGAAAGGTTCAAGAGCAGGGCCCACACAGAGGATGAAGAAGAACAAAGGGGAATGCTGAGGACTGTCTACTTCACCCACTACCCACCACCACCCACCCTCCATCCAGCCACTATCTACCATTCATCTATCTACCCACCTACTCACCCACTCATCATCCATCCACTCACGCACCATCTGTCTGCCATCGACCTACCTACCACCCACTCTCTATCTGGCCACTATCTACCACCCACACATCTACCTACCTTCGTCCACCCACCATCTACCCACCTTCATGTACCCACCCTCAATCTATCAACCTTCCACCCATCCATCCATCTACCCACTTGAGACCCAAGGGTATGATAGCACATGATGTACATAAATACTCTGCCCTTGGGGGAAAATAAGCATTAAGCACCTAATCATAATTAGGATGAGTATAGAATGCCATAGGAACAATGACAGAGCATCAGACCTGGGCTGGGCTGGTGAGATTGGATGTCATATGCAAGCTACTCTAAACATAAGATTTTAAGCTGAGCATGCCAGAAAAGTGAAATTAACCTGTGGAAGAACTACTGTGACAAAACACCAGGACTGGAGCAAACACAGAATAGCTAAGAAAAGACAACAGAGAGCAAAGGCAAGTCCCTCAGAATAGGACCTAATAGGTAAGTTCAGGTCAGACTATGCAAAAGCCCTGGGAGATCTCATCAAATGTTCTGGATTTTATCCTAAGTGAAATGGGAACTCAAAAAGTTCTAAAGATGAGAGGTATGATAGAATTTATGTAATTTTACAACAATCAAGCTGGTTCTGTGTGAAGACTGAGCTGGGAAGGACCAGAAATGGATGAACACTCACCACTTGTGTTCTGTTGCAACAAACTAGACAAGATTATAGGCAGCTGCAGGAGCAAGAGCAAGAATATTTTCTAAGGAATGCTTAGAAAATATAAACGGCAAGAATGGGTCTCATGGGAGAGGGAGGGACACAGGAGTCAGTCAAGGCTCCTGATGGAAGTGACAAGACCTTGTGAGCAACAAGGATGCTAGGGAAAGGCCTGCAAAGAAATGAGCTCGGTTCTAGATACAAGGAAATATCCTGGCACAAGTAGTAAGCAGGCAGGAAGAAAAACAGACCTAGAGCCCAGAATAAAATACCTGGGCCAGGTGTGCTTATGTACACCTGTAACTCCAACACTCAGAAAGTTGAGGTAGGAGGGTCAAGAGCTCCAGGTCAGCCTGGGCTAACTAATGAAACTCTGCCAAAAAAAAAGAAAGAAAAAAAAAAAAAAAAAAAAAAAAAAAAAAAGCCAGGCAGCCTGTGCCTGTAATCCTAGCTACTGGAGGGCTGACATCAAGAGGATCACAGTTCAAGGCCAGCCTGGGCAAATAGTTTGACAGCCCCCATCTCCAAAATAACCAAAGCAAAATGAACTGAGATGTGGCTCAAGCGGTAGAGAACCTGCTTTGCAAACATAAACCCCTGATTTCAAACCCCAGTTCCACCAAAAAAAAAAAAAAAAAAAAAAAAAAATGCTGAAGACATAGCTCAGATGGTAGGTAGTACGCCTGCCTCAAAAGCGCAACAACCTAAGTTCAACTCGCAGTATCGCAAAAAAAAAAACAAAAAAAATTGCTCTTTGCAAATGTGGTGGCTATTCTTCTGTCCTCAGTCCTCAGGACCCCATGCACTAGAATCAGTCTTGGCCCCAGTCATTCTCTCCCTCTGTCCTTCCCTCCCTAATCTTCCAAAAGAGACAACTGTGAGGATGTTCAGTATAAGAATGCTGACCTGAATACACGAGTTCTGTCTGCCAGTAATTGAAGGCGGCAATCCAGGCCTCAAAGTGATGGGCTTGCCATGAAGCCACTAGCTCCAGTCCAGGCCCCACCTCATTCACCATCAGGAGATGCAGCTGCCCCTTGGAGTCACTGCTGATGATTTTCAAGGGCTGGTTACTGAGTCTGGACAGAGGAAGCCAATGGAGAACATGTTGAACACTAGCTGCCATCCTGTTTGGGTCTTTTGTTTTTCCTTTTTGAGACAAGATCTTGCTATGTAACCAAGGCTGGCTGGACCTCATGGTACTTCTGCCTTAGCCTCCCAAAGTGTTAGGATTACAGATGTGTGTCACCATGCTCTGCTCTCACCAAACATGTCCCAGAAAAGGCTCTGCACAGACTTGGCATGTGAACACGTTCCAAGAGGCTTCTTGGGTTACCTACAAAGGCTAAAACTACTACTTAGAAACCAGTGTTGGCTTCTCTTGATAAAAATCGTATTACTACTTATGGGGATATGCTAGGGTTTTCTGTTCTTTTAAGATTAGGACTGGTAGTGACATTCCCAGATTTAAGGAATCAACGTTTGCAGAGGGGCTTCAATTCTCTGGCATAAAACAAGAACCAGTCCTCAGAGGAGAGACTCAGGCCCCTGACCAAGCCTGGCCCTTACCTTCCAGGTTTGCCAGTGGACCAATCCAGTGACAAGGACAGACACTGCTCCTCCAGGATGAGGCTGGATATTGGCTGTAGGATATAACTGCTCTTCTAATGGAGAGAAAGAAATCCCTTTGTTCAAGCAATACTCTATTCCCTTAAATACTCTCCACAGGAGCAAAGTGTGCCAGCCACTGCCTCATTTTTTTTTTTTTTTGCGTTGGGGTTGGGGGGGTCCTGCCCAGGTAGGTCTTGAACTTACAAACTCAATCTTCCCACCTCAGCCTCCTGAGTAGATGAGACTAAGGTGTATACTACCACATCCAGTTTTTGTTTGTTTGGTTTTTTTCTTTTTCTTTTGGTGCTGGGGATAGAACCCAAGGCTTTACACATGCTAGGCAAGCGCTCTGCCACTAAGCTGTACCCTTAGCCTCTGACTCACACTTCCACCTAACACTGAACCCCTGCCACAGGACATTAAGGCACTGGAGCTCAAACCTGAGGACTTTGCCATACCCATGAACTTGAGGCAAGAGGCCTTAGCCTCTGTGTACTCCTAGACACATTGGTCAAGAGCTCCAAGAATCACCACTGGCTCATACTATGTGCCATGTCGTTCCAGGCCTCTGGGAATCTTAGCACATTCTGTCCTGAGACGGAGACAATGGGAATTTTTCTTCTGATTTCCATTTCAGAAGCCACTACAGTCATTAAAATGCTACTTTTCTTGTCTAGGATCTATGGAATTTATTACCTAAACAGCCTAGACAGTGCTTGACTTTATATAAACAGGTTCCCAGCAGGTTGCTTCACATGTCTTGAGTGCTGGTGCTCCAACCTTGAAACCTGGTCCTTGGGCCCAGTCTTCCCTCATTTCTAGGACAAGGCTACTGCTCTGAGCAGGCCTAAAGCAAAGCCCTTCCTTTGTACATAGGCTCAGTTGCCACAAATAATGCCTGCTGGACCTATGCTCCAGCCCCACTACAGCGCCTGCATTAGCATGTTAGGGCAAGTCTATGGGCTGTTGATGTCACTTCACCACACCACACCTCTGCTCCCCTCTCCTGTAACAACCAGATCATGTTTGCAAAAGCATGGTACAGGATCACTGTAAAACACTTGGGGGGGGGGGGAATCACATAGGAATCATACACTCTCCCAATACTCATCAGAAGTATCATTTCCATCTGGGAAATTCACTGCTATTCTTAGCTCCAGTATCAACCAAGTACATGCCTGGCCTTTTTCCCTTACAGAACCCTCAAACCTACCAAGAGGTGACTGAACAGTCCATCGGATGTCCCTTCTGCTGGGACATGTGAGGTGAACACCTCTCACCAGAGCTCAGTACAATTTAAAACAGACTCCATGCTTACTTAGAACACTTATGACAAAGTCCACCATTGAAGAGACCATTCTGAGAAAATGTCTTCATCAGCAAAGCCTCACTCAGGTACCCTCCCCACCACAAAGCCTTGCCCCAGTCACTGACCTCAGACACCACCAGGCGCAGCAACTCTACAGACCCACTGGCATTGGCCACACCTAAAAGAGCATGGTCAGCCACTGGGATGTGGCACCTGAGGAGAGAACTCATGTGAGGACACAGCTCAGAGGAGCATCATACGTCCAGTGATTTATTATTTAAACTTCAGCTCCAAAGCCCACAATCTGTTCCCAAATAAAAGGTTCTCCAGCTTGTAAAATCAAAACCCATGTCGCTTCCCAGATTGGTTCTAACTGTAGGGCTGGGAAATTGACCAGGGAGAAGAGACCCCTGCCTGCCAACGGGTGGGTGGGACAGCAAGGATGGGACCCAGAGTTCAGTTGCTTCCCTGTCTTCTGGAAGGCCCCAAGGCATCCATCGGGCTCCCCTGCTTATGTCAACATATTCCAGAACAGGTGGGGTTACCAGAACCGTACCATTTCATATCCAGGACTGCAGAAGTATCTCTTCTCTGGACCTCAACCAGAGGGTTAGTAGTTCTGTCGTTATTATAACTGTACAGGTAGAGACGACCTAAACGAACTTGAGGCTCGTCCAGTTCACCCTACGGAATGGAATACGCAGTCTCTTAACAGACGCTGGGAACCCAAGGGATGGGAAGCCAGAGTCGGAACAAAAAGGTGGGCCAAAACTAGCAGAGTGGCCCTATGGCCGAAAACAGAGCTCCTAAGCTTCTGAGAGGGCAAAGCGTCCCCTCTGGGCCTTGTGGTCAGTGAGCGGACACCCTGCACGAAAAGCTAAATGGCAACGGGATCCCGCACGGCCAGGGTAACTGTGGTCCAGGGCTGTGCTCACTCTTAAGCGTCCAGGTTAGGATGTTCAGACACCTCTCAGCGGCCAGGCGCCATCTAAGCTGTGGACTCCATGGCGGTTCTCAATTGGGGCCCGGGGCGGAGGCCGCCTCTTCCGCGCGCCCTCTTGGGCTCCCGCCTCCCCGCAACCCCCGCCCCACGCCTTGTAGCCCGATCGCGAACCTTGTCCTCGGGCTTGCGCAGCTGGTACGTGCCGCAGGCCAGCAGGTGCCGGCAGCCATCCAGCGGGCACCACTCCACCGCGTCCGCGGTGAACTCGGTGTCCACCACCTGCAATGCCCGCAGCGCCCGCGCCTGACTGTCTGCCATGCAGCTCCGAAGGACTCGATGTTCACGCTCCACCCACCGCCTCTTTTGCACCCTTGGCGGTGGCCTCTCCCAACTCCTTCCGGGTCGCCAGGGCGGGACTTCCGGCCAGCTTGCCGCTGCGAGCTACTACTCGCCCTGCCGGCTGCTGGGTGGCGGCAAGACCCGACGTGTCGCCCAGTTGGGTTGTGGGTCCTGGAGCTTTGCAGACGTGCAGCCAGGGGCACGAGAGGATGGAGTAACGCCAAAGTGGGGTGCGCCAGGTACAAGGCGTAGAAAGACTTGGGAAGGGGGACAGGAAACAGGACCCTCACTGTAAGTATATATGGAATGCGCTCCAGAACTCTTGTGCTTGGAGCACCGAATAGGCTTGGGGAAGGCCGGCTTGAGAAACTGAGGGTTGAACTGTGTCTCCCCCAGCACCCCCCCCCCGAAATATGTACGTTCACACCAACCCCCAGATCTCAGAATGTGACCTTTATAAATAGGGTTTTTACAGAGGTCAAGTTAAAATGAGGTTCTTAGGGTGAGCCCTGATCTTTATGAAAAGGGAAATGTGGACAGACACACAGAGGTTAGACCACTTGGAGGTGCCAAGTAAAGTCTGGAATGACTTCCAGACAAGCCCAGGAGACTATCAGACTTGGAAATCGTCTTTCTCTAAACCTTTGGAGGGCGTCTAGCCCCAGCAACACCTTCATTTGAGTGCTAGTCTCCAGAATCATGAGACAGTATCTCTGTTGCTTTAGGCCACCCAGTTTCTGCAGGGCAGTTCCAGGCAGTTATGTAGACAGAAATTCGTATGCTACCTGGGTATCCAGTTTGGTCGCTGAGCTGAACTGAGAAATCTAGTAGATGGGTGCTGAGGGAGAGGGGGCACCAGAGCACCCAGACCAACCTAAGCCCTCCTGTCTGCCACAAGGAATGCCAAATACATCACTCAACAGGGTACAAGCCCCTTATTTGAACCACCTGAGCATTCTCAGGCAATAGACTAGATTTGCAGCTACAAAAACCAAGAGAAAAGGATCATCAGAAGCGGAGACAAGTCCAGGGGATGGGTTTCAGAGGGACCAGGAAACAAACAGGAATAAAAAACAACCCTTGAAACCTATCTCACCTGCATCACAGCATCTGTGCCAGAAGGTGTGGTGGAGCTGAGGAAAGGAGCCCACAGGCTGCCCAGAAACTGCTACCTTCACCAGTTCAAGTGCTTATATGTCATGTGTGAGACCTCTGTTGCTTCTCTTTCAATGTAATTTTCTGGTGAAAAGCTGACTGCAGAGTAAAGCAGTCCCTGCTGGTCAAGGGATACAGAAACTCATGCCAACCTGGCGACTCCCCAAAGGTTACAAGCAAACATGGCTTGCAGTCTGTGTATCCCATCCCCAGAGCCTTTGCTTGAAGGCAGATCACTTGGAGGTACTGAGAACCTCATGCATGGAGACCACCCAAAACCAAAAATACCAACCCACTCAGGAATCCCCCCACATCAACAACCCTGGGACATCCTGAAGCTTGAGCTAGCTGCTGTCTTTAGCAACCATTATCTCAGGACACACACACATCCTTCCTTCCCTATAGCTGAGTCTCAATTGCCATTCAACCTAGGGTCTTAGCAGGGATCTCACCTATCTCAGCAAAAACCCTTAACCTTCACAGCACCAAAGGGGAACTTTTTGGTATAGGCCTGATGGGGCATGTGGAGTTCTGCAAGCTCTGGAAAACCCCACAGGGGATTATGCTGCCCCACAGTCTCATACATTCTCTTTTCTAGGCCACCAGGTACCACAAAAGTTGTAATGGGAGCTCTGCTCACAGACCCAAGGCCACCAAATAACTGTGTTTGGCCAGGGACCAAGCAAGAACAAAATCCTGGAATGTGACAGAAGTGCTTTAAGAGGGAACAGCATAGCAGGGGCCTGCAGACCAACAAGATAGGGTGGCCTAGACCAATCAGGTAGGAAGAGCCAAGGGGACAGAAGGGCCAACTGGACCTCCAGCCATACAGCTGGACTCATTTCCCTGAGATGGCTCTATGTGAACAAGATGCTGACCAGCCCTCAGACACCTGTAGATCCACAAAGGGAGAGGGAGACATGCCCTGGGGCCACAGCCTTACACAGATGAACAGCACCCTGCCAGTCTGCTCCAGGCCACAAGTGGTACCTCACTAGCCGGTTAGGCATGTCCTGCGGATTCTTCTGAGCAGCTCTCACTGCTGGTTCCCAGAGGCTCCATGTATAAAGGAAGGTGAGAATTTACCAGTGTACGACTCTTAGAGCACCCCTCAGTCACAAAATCAGTGACTAGCTTACTGGAGCACTCACAGCACATGCTGCCAGACAGGATAGTCTGGATCTCACTTATGCTTCTGACCAGACAAGAAAAAGGCCCAGCATGCTCTGCTTCTCAGGCACCAACCAGAGAGGCAGGTCCTCCACTCCATACCATGTGACCAATTCCACAAGAAAGTAAGACTGAACCTAAACAGCAGGACACGAAGAGCACAGAATAACCAAGACGCAAGATGATTCCACTTCTTTACTCTGCCCTTTCAGACACAACTGTGCAGGCCACTCCTTGGGACCCTACTGCCCAAGAGAGCAGCTCAGCTACATGACACTTTCTAGACATGTGGCTGAATGTTTGCCATTTCAAGATTACAGCAAATGATTCTATTTGTAGTTTCTAACCCTTCCCCTACCTCCCCCCCAAAAAAACTGTACATGAGTTTACAAACATATTAACATATAAATAATGAGAAAGGTCCTGGGGAGCCTCCCCGTTGTCTCTGCTGGAGATAACACTGGAGGGGCACTGTCCCCGCAGACTGCATGTGCCCTGGGGAGTCTGATGGTGGCTGTCTGGGCCCACCACTAGCTTCTTTGGCACCTCAACGGCCAGTCTATCTCCACTGTGCCCACGGAAGAGCTGGAAGCCTCGAACCTGCGGCAGTGGCGACTCCTGCCCGTCATCGTTCAGGCTCAAGCTCATGCTGGAAGGGACGCTTCCTCTCCCGACAGTGCTTCTTGTGAGCAGGCCAGTCCTTCTGCTGGCACTGGGAGCCACAGTACCGGGCCACCTGGCAGCGCCCACAGATGTTGAACTCCCGGAGCTGAAACACAGAACCATGGCTTCACTTTCACGCTGGTTAACTGTGTAGGGCAGAAGCCACATTTCAGAATCTGGAAGGACTCAGCAAAACCCCATGCAGCAGGCTGGAGATGTACCACGTGCATGTACAAGACCCTGAGTTCCATCCCCAGCACCACAAGACCTGAGGCACCATGAATGAAGGGCTAACCCCTGCCTGAACAGGAGCAACAGCAAAGGGAGAGCCACCGTGTTGGGAACCCAGGGGACTATGGAGACGAGATTCCACACCACAACTGGACTGCTGGGCAGAGGTGGCCATGAGCCAAAGCCTTACTGCAGCCCACCATACCTGTTTCTCGATCACTGTGCAGGGAGGGTAATGGCACTCATAGTAGGTGCAGGAATTTTCCTCCTCTTCCACCACATCCCCATTGGCATTGTAGTACCGGGTCACATTGAGGACAGGGAATTGCTCTTCTATGGGGTCTGTGGGAAGCTGCTGAATTGCGAGCCAGTACAAGCTCTGCTCCCTGAAAGAAGGCAGAGGTCTCAGTGTGGTCAAACCAGGTCAGCACAAGGGAGGAAGATGGGACTCCAGGAATGTGTCCTGTCCAGAACCCATCCCACCCATTTTCAATCCGGCAGCTGAGTTTTCTTTGTCCATTTTCACTGCGTATACTTACTATATGACATTAAATATTTAGCATACTATCTCCCCCTAACACACAAGCACTGCCTCATCTACCACTCTCCCCAACTCCTGGGGCTCACAGATACACAGCAGGCACAGAGCACAAATGTGGCCCCTGGCTGATGCCAAGTAGCCCCTCTCCCTGCCCTTGTCCCTAAGAGGTACCTGCTATACTACCCTGTCATCCGACTTCCTTTTCAACTTTGTCAGCTGCCTTGCATCCTTCTGAAAACCCCTCCTCCATGAATGAACCAGATACAACCAAGAGTTACACCAAGAACTGAGGTCCTAAAGGCACATGCTGCACGAGGAAGGCTCCAAAATGACTCCTGGTTGTCAGAAGTTGAGTATAGCAGGGCTTCAAAGGGGCATGGCCAGCTCCTCAGAAAACGGGCTATTTAGCCCAGCCCTCATGGTCTGACCAGCCCACTGTCAACAAAGTCCAAACCAGAGGGCACCTGGTTAGAAAGAGGAAAAGGTCAGCACGTGGACAGATGCTGGCTGCTGATTAGCTAAGCAGATAAGGTTTAGGAGCACCCCTCTGGAACTAGAAAGAGGGAACAAACCTTTTCAAAGAGGTCCCCTTTAGTGGCTGAGCTGAACTCATGGTCCCATACTGACCATTGCCAGGGAAGAACTGAAAACCCAGACTTGGGAGAAGCCAATGCCCTACTCCCAGCGTGACAAAGTCAGGGTGACCCCACCACAAAGAACTAGCCCACATGGAGGCAAGAACCAAGACACACAGCCCAGCCAGCAGGGACTTCAGGCCCACTCAGGTCAGTTCTGATTGCTGCTCCTGGCACAGAGCCCAGCCCAATACAAATGGATTAAACATATATTCTAAAACCCCATACCAGCAAATTAAGAACATTTATGCTTGATGCGTCTTAGGCAAGCTGGAGCCCATCTCCACCAGCAGGAAGTGCTTTCAGGGCACAGTTGCAGCAGAGCTTATCCATCCACAAAGTGAGAATGGGCCAGGGAAGGGCCATGAGGCCAGCTCACCAGGAACTTCAGCCTATAGCCTGCTTTTCCAAACAGAAGTTCTTAATCGTGGTTATCATTATCTTAGGACTATAAAGGGTATTCTGGGACTGGAAGTGTGCCTCAACCAGTAGAGCAACTGCTTTGAAAACGCAAAGCCCTGAGTTCAAACCCCAATCTTACCCAAAAAATTTTAAAATAACAAATAAAGCAAAAAAGGAAAAAAGTAAAGAAAGGATTTTCTGAGAGCTCGGCATAGTGGTATACACCTGTATCCTAGCTACTTGGGAGGTAGAGGAAGGAGGATCATGATTTTGAAGGGAAATTACCTCAAAAACAAATACAAAAGGACTAGAGGAGTGGCTCAAATGGTAGAGTGTTTGCCTAGCAAGTGTGAGGCCCTGGATTCAATCCCTAGTACCACAACAAACAAACAAACAAACAAACAAAACAGGGGTAAGGGTTACATTCAGTTACAGGATGACCAGACCAATACATAGAACCTGGCTAAGGTGATGTATAACATCACAGCAGAAGGGGACCCACAGGTGGTGACATGGTGGTCAGTGGGGAAATATGTGGAACCAGGGTTGGCACGTCCCAGCACCTACACAGGAGAGGTGCCTACATCAATGTTGACCAACCAAGGGGAAATGTTGTGGGTACTGGTTTTGCCCACCACCAGCCCCTACCCTTCCTTTGTTGAGACCTGTCTCAACTCTAGCTCCAGGCTAGAAAAACAGTTCAGAGCCAGCTAAGTGGAATGCACCCCAGGACTTCCTCCACAGGCAGTGAGCAAGTCTGTTGCTGCCTGGGGACATTCACAGCTCCAGGAGGAGCCCCTGGGAACAACAGAACTGAGGAGGTGGCATAGTCACTGGCTCTCCCCATTCCAGTCAGAGTCAGTAAGTGAAATTGAGCTAAGTTTCTCTTATTTGCAACCTGAAGTCTAAACCAACATAATTCCCGAAAGTATAAAAACCCTACACAGCTTTTATGAAAGGGTTAGCTTCACTGAATGGTAGGGAACTAAACGGTCAAAATTCTGGTATCACAGCAGGGAACAAACCACCAGCCTACCAAGGGTGCAGACCTTCACAGGGCTGTTTTCACCCTGCCAAAGCCCACATAGGAAACAAAGGAGTGTGTAATGGTGATGGACAGGATACCCTGAGGGGTCAGAGCGGCAGTTTGGGGGAAACCCTCTAAGAGCCTGGAGACAGTCCCCTCATATCCCCAACAGCAGTCTGCCTGGCACTCCCACCCACTTCTACCTCCACTGCACAGGACTCTGGCATGGCCCAAAGGCAACAACTGTCCACCCTCTGTTTGGTCCACCCTCTGTCCCAAACACCAACCTCACCAGTGCTACTAGCAACATCTGCTGGGGTGATAGCGGACTTGAGAACATACACAGAAACCCCAGGAAGCCCCTGTGAGCAGTTCAATAATGCACATGGGGCCAGGCACCAGTGGCTCATGCCTGTAATCCTAGCTGCTCAGGAAGCAGAGATCAGGAGGATCATGGTTGGAAGCCAACCCTAGGAAATAGTTCCCAAGACCCTACATAAAAAAACCCATCACAGAAAAAGGGCTGGTGGAGTGGCTCAAGGTGTAGGCCCGAGTTAAAGCCCCAGTACTACAATAAATGAAAGAAAAAAAAGGAGAAGAAAGAGAAAGAGAAAGAGGGAGGGAGGGAGAGAGGAAAATAGGTAAGATAGATGGGGTGAGGACTCTGGCCTCAATTTGATTCAACCCTGTCCTGCTGGTTCTTTGGCTCTTCCTCAGGGCTCCATGAGGTTCATAACTGGGCTAATCCTGGAGCAGTAGGAACTGCCTTCCCAGAGTACAAAGCCCTGTTTGCAGGACCACAGGAAGCTGAAACACCAAGAGGCCAAGCCCCTGAACCACACTATCCTACTTCCTTCAAACCACTGCTTGGGGAAAATTGTTCAGCAGAGGAACATGACAGAGAACCATCCTGTCTCAGAGACTCATGTGTATGCACAGGATGGGGCTTTGGGGTATGGCCCAATGCTGGCTCCACTCCATCACATCAGCTAAAGTATTCCTAGAACCAATTATCACACAATCAACCCCCAAAAATAATCATCAAGATTCTTCCCATTCCCTGACTGGAGGTGTGGCTCAAGCGGTAGAGCACCTGCTTTGCAAGTGCAAAGCCCTGAGTTCAAACCATAGTCCTACAAAAAGAAACAAAAAATTCCCTTTCCCTGAAAAATGGGACCCGCGACACACGTTGGAGAAAAATAACCAAGTACCAAAGTACTCAGAGGCACCAGGGCAAAGAGTTTGTTTGGTACTAAGCACCTGTAGGAAGTGCAGGCTCAGAAACACCCACCTCTGTTTGCTGGAGGTCTCCTCAGCTTTGGGCCGCCAGCCCCACGGCACCAGCTGCAGGTTGTCCAGTCGATTGTCCACTGTCACAGCGTTGAGATGCACCACCTGAAACCCAGGAGCCACACCTCCTCTGTGTCGCTCCCTAGGGAAAAACAATACTCTCAAGGTCCATCTCTGACCACAGGTACTTCTGGTTAAGCATGAAAGTTCAGCCAGAAATACCAGCCATGTGTCTGACCAGGGCTGATGAGGGTGCACCTGGGGAAGGCTACTGAGAGAAATCCAGCACATCGTCAGCCTATGGATTTAAAGGTTGGACTGAAAGAGGCAAGAATGAAATCCCAAAACTGCCTAAACAAACACCCTAGAGATAAGCTCCCCATCTGGTGGTCCCAACATTTTAGAACCTCATCTTATACATGAACAGTGGCCCATTTCCCAGGGAGGCAGCCCACATCATACTGACAAGGCTCAGTCAGAGCCCAAGGGAGAGGCTGGAAACCTTTTCCACCAGAGGACATCCGACCCCAGTAGAACTCCATTATGCAAATTTGTCATTTTTTTGAGTTAATGGCAAAGGACACACAAACTCCCACACCTAGGGAAGACAAGATGAGTCTGACTCCACCAGGCACGTGGCTCTCCTGCCTCCAGGCATCCTGTGCACATCCCAGCTCACACAGGACCCAGGTAGGAGACAAGGCAGCTGGAAAATACCCACCACAGCAGCTCATGGAGGAGCCTGCCAGATCCTCTTCCTCGATTTTTGTCGAAGGCATATGCGAATATCTTAGCACCATTTCCATCAGCATCTACTTCCATACGAGCCTGAAATGTAACAAGGAAAAGGTCTGTTAAATAGCCTCAACTCTAAGCAACATTTCAAATCCCACTTAGAAAAAAATCAAGTGAAACAAACAGCTATAAGGGATAGATGCCACCCTGTTCCTGAGATCCTGGGAGTCAGCAGGGGCTCCCTCATACCCAAGTCACAAATAGGCCAGCAACATCCCAACAACCACTCTATCCTCCATTTTGGCAAGAAACCATAATGAGCAGCTCATTGCAAAATAATGTGGACACAGAGAAATAACACCCACACAAAAGCCCACAGAGTTGGGTGTGGTGGCACACAATGACTACCACCACTAAGGAGGGAGACGAAGACAGCAAATTCAAGGCCAGCCTGGACTACATAGTGAGAACTTCTCTTCAAAAACAAATGTGCCAGTGGCTCATGCCTGTAATCCTAGCTACTCAGGAGGCAGAGATCAGGAGGATCTTGGTTTGAAACCAGCCCAGGGCAAATAGTTCGAGAGACACTATCTCAAAAAAAAAAAAAAAAATCACAAAGAAAGGCTGATAGAGTGGCTCAAGTGGTAGAGCACCTGTCCAGCAAGCATGAGGCTGAGGGCTGAGTTCAAACATCAGTACCGAAGGGAAAAAAAAAAAAAAACCAACTGGGTATTGGAGGCTCATACCTGTAATCCTAGCTATTTGGGAGGCAGAGATCAGGAAGATCAAGGTTCGAGGCTAACACAGGCATCGTTCACAAAACCCCATCTCTAAAACAACCAGAGCAGCTGGGCACCAGTAATCCTAGCTACTTGGGAGGCAGAAATCAAGAGGATCGAGGTTGGTTCAAGGCCAACCCAGGGCAAACACAAAAAAAAGGCTTGTGGAGTGGTTCAAGTGGTAGAGTGCCTGCCTACCTAGCAAGCATGAGGCCCCAAGTTCAAACCCCAATACTGCCAAAATAAAATAACCAGAGTGAAATGGGCTGGATATATGGCTCAAACAGTAGAGTATCTGCTTTGCAAATGGGAAGACCTGAATTCAAACTCCAATCCCACCCAAAAAATAAAGACCACAATCCAGCAAGGAAGAAAAACTCCTAGACAAACTGGGGCCATGGAAGTGCAAGGCACGAGATGGAGACATGAGGCAGGACCACTGGCTGCTCAGGGCTGCTGAAGGGAGGAGAGGTTGGCACATCAGTAGGAGTGTAGGGCTGCCTCACAAGTCACAGCCACAGAGAACTGTGCACACCTCATTTAACAGACATCCAAATAGGACAAAGCGTGGTGTGTTTGCAAGAGTTGATAACCAGGGTGAAAGTGGGGAAGATCAGTGCAGAAGCCACCCGGGGCTCTACTAGGTAGTGGCAGCCAGGCTGTCCAGATCTGGGATGTGGTGACCCTGAAGGCTCATTAGCCAACAGCAGCCATCCATATGTGCAGTCTCCCACTCTCCCAGCACAGAAAAGTCCACATTATCTTTCCTGGGGATGACAAAAAACATGGAAGGACCGACCAGTCATCCTTACCTCAAAGGAGTAGCTCTCCACCAAGGGGATGTCTTGCTCATCTATCAGTGTATATTTGGTCTGAAAATTAACCATATATTGCAAAGCGTTAAATCTGGAATACTCACAAGAAACAGTAACATTATAACCAGGAACCAGCTACTTTCTTATGAAGTAGAAAATAACCACATGCCGCTACAGATTAAGACACATCAGCAAGTGGGGGCGCTCAACCTTATTTGTCAAAAATGAAAGCGAGTCACACCCACATTAGTCTATCAGGGCAGTGTTACCAGGCTTCAATACCCATCCACACAGGATCAACCCGGTAAGTGGAACTCAACTATTAAACTGACAATAGACCTAGTCAAAGGTTTCAGTGGAGTAGAGAACGGGGATGGGACTGAAGCAGAATATCCAAATTCCAATGAACGTATATTCATTAGGTAGGGCAATAGGTACACGTGCTCACTCACTGTATTACTCTTCTTAAGTTTTAAGGGCTGATGTTCACGCAATCAATTACTGACTTGGAAGGGTTCTCAGAGATAACTAGGGTCGCACCCAATGTCCCTGCTGGAAGGTGCAGAAAACGGTTCTTAAGATAGGCCAGTCTTCCTCTCCTAGGGTCTGTTCGAAGATCTGAACCAATTTTCCTTCCTCGGACTTGACTCCTGCCTCTGTTCCTCTCTCTAACCACCAGCAGCAGCCACTGGTGGAGAGGGAAGCGTAAGGTCCCGGCTCCTGGACACCACCGAGCCTCAAAAGACCACTGATTCCACGAGAACCGCAGCCTCCAACATGCGAAGGATGGGGGCCGGGCAAGGGCGAGCAGTGGCGGTGAACCCTCGAGTATACCAGCTCCGGGGCCCTGGCTCCCCGTCCAGAGAGAAGCCCGAGGCTCGGCCCCACTTGACCAGCCCTAGCAGCGTTGTAACGAGCCGGGAGTCTCCACTGCTGACCGGCAGGCACGGAACAGCCCGCCTCGGACCCGCTTGGCAAGAGGCGTCGCGGTGCGCGGCCGCGAAAAGGGCGCTGCGTTCAAACCGTGCGGCCGCAGGTGCAGCCCGGCCGCTAGGCCCGGTGCTGGCTCCACGGCGAGCGCTCGGGAAGCGCGGGCGGCCGCCTCCGCACCCCATCAGCCTGGCCGGGCAAGGAGCGTCCAGAGCCCGAGGGGCGCGCCCGCCGGCCTTGGGGAAGGCGGTCACAAGGAAGGCAGCGAGCCGGACTGAGCCTGACCAGCGCACCCTGCCCACCCCGGCGTCCACCCCGCCGCCCCGGACCACGCAGGCCTGACCGCGGCTCTGCGCCGCTCACCTTCCCGGCCACCCGGCCGAGCCGCACGATGCCCAATTTGAAGTCGGTCATGGCCGGGCCTGCGCTCTCGGCCGGCGGCGACGCTCCCTCGGGAGACGCCGGGCCGGGCCCGGGCGAGGCCGCGGCGCTCCGGGGGCAGGCCGGGGCGGGGGTCGAGCCGGGCGGGCCCCGGGCGGACGAGGCTGGGCCGGGCTCGGGCCGCCGCCGCCTCGCGCCCGCCGGACCTGCCACGCGCCGCCGCCGCCGCCGCCGCCACCGCGCGCACCCCAGCAAGCGGAGCCGAGGGCGGGGCGTGGCCCGGGGCACACCCCCCGCTGCCGCCAGCCGGCCAATTGCACGGCGCGCCCTCCGCCAGCCGGCGCGCGCCGCGGCCCAGCGACCAATGGGAATAGTAAGGGTGCGCAGGCGCACTGGGAGCAAGTCGAGCGCGGGGGAGGGGCGGGCCGGGGGCGGCGCCTGCGCGGCGGCCGGCTGGACGTCAGTTTCGCGGGAAGCTTTGTGCCGGCGGCGGCGGCGGCGGCGGGAGCAGCAGGACCCCTCCTACGGGGCTAGGGTCGGATCAGCTACCTCCAGCCGCCTTGCGGTCTCCACAGCTTACCCCGGCCCGTGGGGCCCTTATCCCTTCTCCGGGTCCAGCTGGGCGGCCTGGAATAGCTGTCCGCGCCCAGCAGTCGTCTGCCGGCAGGACCGCGGCGGGATTTCCCCGCACCTCCTGTTCTTGGACGACGCCGGTCTCCAGGGTCCACGCTCCTCGCTTTGGAGCTGTACAGATCTCCGGAAACGAAACAGCTCCCGGGGTAGTAGCGGGGACAGACTCGGTGCGTCCGGGGACCGAGGTCCCTTAGGTCCCCTGAGATGAGACCTGCGCGGGGGCCATAGTGGACATGTGTCCGACTGAAAAAGAGGCCTTGTGGGCCCGCAGCCTGATCCAGAGGGCAAGGCCTTGAGCTCAAACCCGGGGGCAGGCTCCACCTGCTTCAAAGTGATCCCAAGCACCTGAGGCTCTACGGAGGTTCCTGGCTTGCAGGGTACAGTTTGGGATATAACTACCAAGAAGATGTGTTTTTTTCAAGAGTGAGGATAGAAAGTCCATCTCTGGGCTCCTGGGACTTGCCAGTTCCTCCCAGACGCCCTGGAGGGGAGACATCTGGGATCAGGCTTGTCCTTGCTGGTGCTCCCATGGGCAGCAGAAGCTGATTTTAGTGCAGGTTGCTCCAGATGTTGACTTGAAACGATGGTCCACGTGGCTTGCTTGAGAGGGACCCCAGCAAACACCACTTGGAGTGGGGACATGAGGCAGGGAAGGGGGTTACTGTGCCAGAGGCGCCATCTGGTGGGAGGCTGTTCCTGAGACGGTTGCTTCTTGGCTCCTCAGCCACAACCTGCGAGTGGCAAAGAGCAAGCAAGACAAGATGTTATGTAGGTGGGGTGAGCCTGTTTGCTGTGCTTATCTTTCTACCCAGGTCTAATGTCCTGTAGGGGGGATTAGGCAGCCTGGGGAGTGCTTACTCTCCAGCAGCATCCATCTCCCATCAGCAACATCTTGAAAAAGAAACTGCCAGCCATGGTGGTACACACATGTAATCCTATTCCTGGTAGGATTACAGGAGGCTGGTGCGGGAGGATGGAGAGTTCAAGGCTAGCCTGGGCTACATAGTGAAGCTCTTTCCAAAAACAAAGAAACCGTGACTCCAGATCCTGTTCAGCCACTACCTCACTTTCTTGCTTCCTATCACAACAAAAGTGCCTAGAGTTGTCTGTACTTGCTATCTCCTTTACCCATCTGGAAAGCTAGTGAATTTATTTTCTGCTATTTCATATCATCCTACCACAGATATAGTGACCTAAAAAAGTGTCAATTTATTATCTCATGGGTCTGAGGGTTCTAAGTCCAGATGGGCTTGGATGGTTTCTTTACCCCAGGATTCAAGGCTGAAATAGGTGTTAGTGAGCCTGAACTCTTACCAGGGCTCTAGGGGAGAATCATCTTTAGACTTAATCTCTTTGTCACAAGATTTAGTCCCATATAGTTCTGTGAGGTCACCATCTACTGTCAGCCAGGGACCATTCTCAGTGTCTAGAGGCCACCTGCATTTTCCAGTTTGTGTCCCCCTTCATCAAAAGCCATTAAGTCAGGTTCAATTCCCAGAACCACAAAACAAAAGGACAAAAAAAAAAAAAAACAAGAAGCCCCCACACATTTTTTTTTTTTGGCATATATGTGGTACTAGAGAATCAAACCTAACATCTTGTGAGTGCTAGGCAAGTGCTCTAACACTGAATTATGTCCCCAACCTTTTTTTTAAACAGGGTCTCGCTATGTAGCTCCAGCTGGCCCTGAACTCACTATGTAGCCCTATCTGTCCTCAAACTCTAATTCAGAATCCTCCTGCCTGTGCCTCCTGAAACTATAGGCTTTTGCCGCTATGCCTGATTCACACTTCTAACCTCTGTTCCTTTTCCCCCTCATTTCTCCCACCTTCAGCTGGAGAAAGTTCTGTACTCTTAAGAACTCCTGGGGCCTGGTGCCGGTGGCTCACACCTGTAATCCTAGCTACTCAGGAGGCAGAGATCAGGAGGATCACAGTTCTAAGCCAGCCTGAGCAAATAGTTCTTGAGACCCTATCTCAAAGAAACCCATCACAAAAAAAAAAGGGCGGGGGGGTGGGGGGTGCTGGTGGCATGCCTTAAGGTGTAGGCCCTAAGATCAAACCCCAGCACTGCAAAAACAAAACAAAACAAAACAAAAAACCTTGAATTTGGCTGAGTCCACCAGGATAATTTTCCTTATTTAAAAACATTAATTAGTAACCTATTCTGCAAAGTCCCTTTTGCCATGTAAGGTATTCACAGGTTGCAGTCATGAGCACTTGACATATACTACCCAAGACTCCTGGCAACCCATTCCAGCTAGGCTTTCAGCCATACCAGCCTCTGAAACTACACCAGTGAACAAAACAAATTAAGATCCCTACTATATTCCAGTGAGAGAGATGGAAAATATGCATGATGAGTAAGTATGTTCCAATGTTAGAATGTGATAAATGCTATGTATGGAAAAACAACCAGATCAGAATATTGAGGGGCTGATGGTGTTAGTGAAAGGGGTAAACAGAGAAGTCCTCATTAAGAATGGCATCTGAACAAACAGTGGATGGAGGAGAGGGGGCCATGTGGATATACAGAGGTAGGACATTCCTGACAGCAGGAACATCCAGTGTGCAAAGAACTTGAGGTGGGAACAGGTCTGGCATGTTTGAAAAACGAGCCAATACACTGGCTGCTGGGAGAACCAGCTTGTAGGAGACAAGAGAAGGAAGGCTCTTCAGGTAGTGACACAGGCATCTGGACAACAGGTAATGGTGTTCTGACGTGTGGTACAGTGGTCTGTATGTTCATAGGCCTGGTTGTGTTGCAGTAACAAACAACTAAATTCTCAGTGACTTTGCAAAAACAAAGCTATATTTGTCATTCACATTGCACGTTAAGATGAATAGGCGGTTGGATCTATGCAGGTAGATTAAAGGAAAGGGGCCCAACTGGGGTATAAATTTGGCATAATTAGCATATTTTTAGTATTTAAAGCCCTTTGTCCATTTGGGCCACTATAACAAAGTGCCTTAAACTAAAAAATGTATAAGTCATAGAAATTTTTTGAGTGCCCTCTCTAGGGACCTCTCTCAGCTCTGGGAGCTCTACTCTTTGCTACTTTTCTCTCTCAAAAAACTCCCACTTTACTAAAGAAGAAAAGAAATTTATTGGACTGGAGATGTAAGTAGAGCACTTGCCTAGCACGTGTGAGACCCTGGCTTGATCCCCAACACTGCAATAAATAAATACATAAATAAAAATTTTACTTCTTACAGTCTGGTGGCTAGAAGGCCAAGATCAAATTATTGAGAGTCAATGTCTGATGAAGGCTGCTCTCTTCAAAGTCAGTGTCTCCCTGTTGTGCATTCACCTGGGAAAAAAACCAAAAAGGGATAAACTCATTCCCTCAAGTCCTTTTATAAAGGTTCTGATCCTATCCATGAGGAGGAGCCTTGATCTGATGGCCTCATCACCTACGAAATGGCCCACCTCCTAAACAGTTGCTTTGAGGATTAAGTTTCAATATGAATTTTGGAGGGGCACAACATTACATTCAAGCCATAGCAAGTCATAAAACTGGATGAGATCACTGTGGGAGAAATGTGGGGCAGGGGGGACAGCTTTGAGTATACCTGTATCAAAGGGGAAAAGACTGGAAAGAGAAGGACCCAGCAAGGAGAACGAGGATGTCAGGTAGGAAAGGAAACCCAGAGACAGTGGTGGCCTGGAAGGCAGGTGAAGGCAGTGTATGTGGCAGGCATTGCAGATAGGCCCAGGTGACAACAGAGAGTGAAACAATGGATTTAGCAATCTGGGGTCACTGGGTCACTGGCTGTCTTTTTTTTTTTTTTGTCTGTACTGGAGTTTGAACTCAGGGCCTAAGCCTTGAACCACTCTGCCAGCCCTTTTTTGTGAAGGGTTTTTTGAGACAGGGAATTATTTACCTGGGCTGGCTTCAAACTGTGATCCTCCTGATCTCTGCCTCCTCAGTAGCTAGGATTATAGGCATGAGCTGCTGGCACCCGCCACCACTGGCTATCTTGACAACTACAGTTTTGGTGCAGGAAGAAGTATATGTGGGTTAACAGGGAATGGAGGAGTAGGTGTGGTGGCACCAGGGAGGCAGGGGAAGAATGGTCTCAAGTTTGAGACAGCCTGGGCTACCCCGTGAGACTTGTCTCAGAAAAAAAAAAAAAAAGAAAGAAAGAAAGATAAAAGAGAGAAAGGAAAGAAAGGAAGGGAAGACTAGGCATGGTGGCACCCATCTGTAATCCCAGCACTAGGGAGGCTGAGCAGAAGGATCTCGAGTTTGACACCAGCCTGGGCTTGTCTCAGGAAAAAAAAAAAGAAAGAAAGAAAGAAGAGGAAAAAAAAAAAGGAAAGGAAGGAATTTGAGACCATGAGACACACAATTCTTCTGAGGCATTTTGCTGAAGAAGGGAGCAGAGAAGTAGGGCCAAAACTAGCAAGAGAAGAGAGGTCACTAGGTGCTAATGACTCATGTCTATAATCCTAGCTATTTGGGAGATTGAAATTGGGAAGATCACGATTTGAGGTCAGTCCAGGCAAGTAGTTCTTAAGACCCCCATCTCCAAAATAACCATAGTGAAATGAACTGGAGGTGTGGTTCAAGTGGTAGAGCATCTGCTTTCCAAACATAAAGCCCTGAGTTCA